AGGCTTAATTTTTATCCATTTATTTTTTAGTATTTTACAAGTGTCCCACACGTACTTTGCGTTTGTTCTCATATCAATATTTTGAGCAAAAGTTTTGTAATTTTCTCTACGTTTAGTTTTAAAAGTTTTATTTGCAATTGCACATCTTTTTTTGTATTCAATATAATCTATAGTTACACGTGTGTGTTTCCATTTTAAAAATGCACATTTTCTTAGTCTTTTTACCTTATCTCACTCCTCATCCCACCAAGGGACAGGATTTTTATGTGTACTGTTATTTACATTTTTTGTTGTTGGTGTATTTGTTTTTATTGCATTAGTTATAGTATCAATGAATTTATCATATTTTTTACTTGCTTCAAGATTGTCGTATTCTGTAGTCATGAAATAGGATAATTCATTCTCTAAATATTTATTTACTGCTGCCCAATCTGTACGAACAGATCTAAGTCTAAACGTTTTTTTATGATATATGCTTTTATCTACATTTATCTGTATGTGTACAGGAAAATGATCTGAACCCCACGTCTCGTCTTCTACTTTAACTTCAACTTTCTCAGTTGCAACTGTACTTGTAAATATTAAATCTAAATTAGAAAAGTAGTATAAGTTTGGGAGTTCTGGATATAGATTCCTGCACCGACATAATACCGACACTCCAGAGCCTTCGAAGGTGGGTGTCCGTGCTAAGTTGCCGTCGTGAGCTCTACGATTTCTGAAAGTGACGTCATCAGAACCCTCGATTCCAAGAATTTTTGCTCGATTCCGGGAATTTTGCGTCACATTCCGGGAATTTTGCGCTCGATTCTAGGAATTACGCACGATCGAGAACCTTCTAGAACATTCTGGAAGCTTCGACGGTTCGTGTCCATGCTAAGTCGGGAAGGTTCGCTCCCAGAGCCAGCGGTCCTCTCGCTCGACGTTTTGAGACAGCCCCTTGCCCCCCATCCCGGAAGAAGGTTCGCTCCCAGAGCCGGCGGTCCTCTCGCTCGACGTTTTGAGACAGCCCCTTGCCTCCCACCCCGGAAAGCCTTCCAGAAGCTTCGACGGATTCGTGCAGGTTCGTGCAGGTCTCGGACGTCAACCCTCAGCCCGTTTGACCTCGAACGTTATCTCGCAGAATTGCACA